ATTGTTTAAAAGGGGGGGGGGGACTGCTTTTGAGGCAAGCAATGACATGGTTTCTATGCCTAAGCCTCATTTCTCTCTTTCTGCCCATTGTTTCAGTTTTATAATGGAAGCAATTAATTGTCCTTTGAAAACACCAGCAGACAAAGAAAAACAAGCCCAGGAAGGAAAGCTTGTGTTTCCAGCACAGTTCAGTGTTGCTAATCCAAACGTTTAAAAAGAAGCACCCAAGGGCAGATCCGGCCCCCCCCCCCCAGAAACACAAATGGCACCTTTTTCGCTCAGTCAGTAATAAAGTTTGGTTTTGGGTTTAGAGATTCGGGCTGAATCAAAGTCTGACCACTATCTACTCAAGAGAGCCAGTCTGGTGTAGTGGTTAAGAGTGCAGACTCTAATCTGGGAGAACCGGGTTTGATTCCCCACTTCTTCACATGCAGCTGCTGGTGTGATCTTGGGTCAGTCAAGTTCTCTCAGAGCTGTTCTCTCAAGAGCAATTCTCGAAAGAGTTCTCTCAGCCCCACCTACTTCACAGGGTGTCTGTTGTGGGGAGGGGAGGTGAAAGGAGATTGACAGACTCCTCCGGGTAGTGAAGGGTGGGGTATAAATCCAATCTCATCATCATCTCATCAACACAAGGGTGAAAGGGGCCCTGATTAAAATGGAGGTTCATGGATCCTACTAGATCCCTAAATGCTTTGGGGGATTTTAGGATTCTAACTCTGCATTTTGTTGAGGCTGTGGTGGGAATGTAGAATGTTAAGATCCTTAAAGCTATCAACAAGGTTGTCCTTCATTGGGGGGGGGGGCGGTGTCAAACCCAGCTGCCTGGTTTACCACAGAACTTGTCTTGGATCTGACAGAGCGTGCTTTGGACTCATATGAAGACCTATGAAGCAGTAGTGATGGTGGCAAAGAAATTTTACTTCCCTGCTACTTATTCTATCAGCTAGTCCACAACTATCCCAATTGTTCAAGGTAGTAAGGCATCTGTTGACTCCTAAATCTGAGCTTTTATTGGCTCAGGAACAGACAATTCCCTGTAATACTTTAAAAATATAAATAATATACTGTGATCTGGATGCCTGTTGCAACGTTGGTCCATCAGAAGGAATGCCTGATACCCTGCCCGGTCTATTTATAGACCCTTTTGACCCAGTTTCTGTGATGGATGTTGACGAGATCCTGGGATCTGTAAAGGCCACTACTTGTACCCTGGATCCTTGTCCATCCCGGCTGCTAAAATCATGCAAAGACCACATCAATGGGCCCATCCTATTTATTATAAATCAATTAATCACTCATCCAAAGAGGCAGTTATCTGTCCACCATGACCAAAAAAAGAGAAAACCCCACAAGGAAAACAATACGGGAGTCTGAGTGGCAAATTCACTGCCCCCTGGCAGACCACTTTCTGGAGAACACAGAGGCTACCAAGATTACAACTGATTTCTCTCAGCTTAACCTACCTCACAGGGCTGTTGCAAGATTACATGGAACAAGGGAGAAACTAGGGGCGGTGTCCTGAGGTCCTGGGAGGAAAGGTGAGATAAAAATGTGATAGACAGATGTTAAAAAGAGCAGTAACCAGGGGCGAGTAAAGTTTTTAAAGTGTTTTGAAAAGCAAAAAAGAGGACATATTTCCCAACTGACTACTTCAAACAGCACTCAGGACAATGGAACCCCCAAGGTTTAACAGAGATATCCGGCTCTTATCTCATTATCCATGCTAAGTCACTTCATCCTCGCTTATACCCAGAATCAAGCTTTGTTGGTCTTAAAGGTGCCACAGGATTCAAAGTTATCTCTCACATCTGTTAACTCTTTTATTATCTGAATGCTAATTTGCTGCTGTGCACAGGTTTTACAAACTGCTTTAATCCAATCTTAGCTATTATTATTGGTCAGTTACTTATACATCTTGACTCTAATGAGCCCTCCTGGCAACTAACCCCTCCACCCTCTCTCTACCTATCCTTGAGGAAGTCTTGTTTCAATTTATCTGAAGAGGCGTGCCTGCACATGAAGGCTTACACCCAGAATTAAACTTTGTTGGTCTTAAAGGTGCCACTGGACTCCAAATTTAAACCAACATGGCCACCCACATAAATCTAGGAATATTCCTAACCTTACAACCCCAGAAGTGGACATTTTCATCAGTTTTTTTAAAAAATAGCCCCAAAGAGGACACACACACACACACACACACACACACACACACGGACATGTCCTCTAAAAAGAGGACATCTGTGATAGCCCTTTTTTTGATGCAAAGTTGCACCTATTGCTCTTTCTTTACATGTGGAAGAAGTATCCATCTTGTCCATTTCTCCCAAAAGATCCATTTTGACAAGTGCTAGTGATACACAGAATGCTATCATGTAGCATACTGCTGGCTGCTACGTGGCTCCTGTCAAAGTCTAAAAGAAAAACTGGATGTGACCCAGGTTCAAAGACAGCAAGGTCGTATGAGATACAAAGCAGATTAATTTTCCATGAGCACAGAAGAGGAAATGGCTCCACAAAGTTTCCTGTCATAGTCTTGCAACTGATAAGCACTCACATGAATGTCATACAGTGTAACTCTTTCGTCACTGTAACTTTGTAAGCTGTGCAACATGCTTTTTGAAAAAGATTTTTTTTTAAATCAAGAAAACAAGTTTTAAATGGTGGAAGGGGGGGGGACACGGAATACGCTTCCAGAAACAGTTTTTGTGTGTGTGACTAAAAAATAAATCTGCTCAAGATAATTTAACATGGATTATTTATCTTTTAACCTGCTTTAAAGGTAAAGGTTTCCCTTGCTCGAAAACCAGTCAAATCTGACTCTAGGGTTGCGGTGCTCATCTCCGTTTCCAAGCCGAAGAGCCAGCGCTGTCCGAAGATGTTTCCGTGGTCATGTGGCCGACATGACTAAACGCCAAGGTGCACGGAACGCTGTTACCTTCCCACCGAAGCGGTACCTATTTATCTACTTGCAATTTCTTGCTTTCGAACTGCTGGGTTGGCAGGAGTTAACCTGCTTTACTATCCCTTTTGTATGCAGAGTTGCAGACTAAAGGCTTCTCATGCACACTCTTCCAAAAGATAATTACAAAACCTGTGGGCCTATCCTGCAGATAAACCCCTTAGGCTTAGGGTTACCGGATGTCCTCCTTTTTTTGGTATCTGTCCCAGGCCTGTAGCTACAGTGGGGCATTTGGGTGCCCGGCCCCCTGATTTCCAGCCCAGGCCCCTTGACTCTCTGGGCTGCCTGGAGAACTCCCTGCTGCCACCCCTTCCCCGCCTGTCAGCAGACCCACCAGCTCTATCCCAGGTTGGCAGCTGGGGAGGCTGTGGGTCCCGAGCTGGCAGTGCTCAGAGGCTGGCGGGGTTGGGGCAGGTGCACGGCATGACCCAGGCTGGGGTGCCTCCTCCTCCTCGGTGCCCAGCTGGAGCCGGAGCGCTGGCAGAAGCCAGCTCCTCGCCACTTGGCATCCAGGGCTCACTAGCCCGCCCCCTCAGAGCCCCTTGCCTTGCCAGAGCCTGGTGCACCATTCCCTCCAGCCGCCACACAGATGGCCTCCATGGCATGAGTTGTTAACTATTTTTAAAAAAATTTGTGACATCAGTGCCCCCCCCCTTATTTAAAGGCCCCCTTAATTAAAAATTCCTGGCTAGGGGCCTGCTCTGTCCTCTTTTGGGTTCTTTTTGAAAAACGGATGGAAATGCCCTCTTTTTGGGTTGGGAAGTTAGGAATATTCCTCGTCAGTAGCAATTATTGCACCTTAAATAGTAACGGTACTGAAAATGAGATTTGTCCTGGGATCACTTGTTTGAAGTAGTCAACTGGGACATATGCCCTCTTTTTGGCTATTCAAAATATGGGAACTCTAAGACTAGTTCGCCTGCATAAGGAGTTGTTTTTTCCAGATCTTGTAATCTGCTTTAAGGCTCAGTGTGACAAGGTTGGCTTTCAATAATTATCCTCACGTGGCCATTATTGCACAAATCAGCTTTTCCCCATCCTCCCAACTTGTTTGGTTTTTGAATGGCACAGGCAACAGTCAAACCAAGTGAACACTTCAGCAATTGAAATTTGTATTTATTACTTCAGAAAATAAAGGATTCGGTGTGGGGAATTCCATCTGGTGTGGTGGTGGTGATTAGACTGTCAGACTGGGCCAGGAGAGATCCAAGTTGAAATTCTCACTCAGCACTCCCTATTTAGCCTACCTCCCAAGGTTGTTGTGAGGGCCAAAAGAAGGTGAACACCACAGACCCTAATCTAAACTACTTGGAAGAAAGGTGGGGGAAATTAAGAAAAAAAATAAAATTCTTGATTTGTCAGGGGAGCTCGATTTCTCCGAGTACGTTCGCAGTATAGTGCGGGAGAGAACCAGGCGAGGAGACTTTATGTCCCTCCATTTTCGCGTCGTCCCCCCCCCCCCCCCCACCTTGCCCCTTTCTTTCTCTCATTCCCCGCATGCGCAAAACTTTCCTCCCGTCCCAAAATCTGCTTCTTTGTGGCGGCGAACCTTAGCAACAAGGGTGACCTCACCCTACACCAATCAACGATTAGCAATTCATCGCTATTACCCCACCTCCGTCTTTCCTCCCCCCCCGCCAGATTCTTCCAGAGCTTTCCTTACCGAGAGCCAACCAGAAACCACATTCCCCTCGCTCTACCAATCGCTAACGAGCACAGCTTGTAATCCCTCCCTCAGTTCTCTTTGGCAAAAAACCTGCATAGTTCGGCAAAGGTCGTTTCACCTCTAGCTAGATATCCTTCCGCTCCTCAGTCGGCGCAGGCTCACTAACCTTTGATCTTGTCTATTCGTGCTCGTAACACGGGAGAATAAAATACCTTCTTTTTGTTTCCTCGTGCAAGGAAGGATAATTCATTTCCGAAAGAGGCAGAAACCTTTTTTTTATTGTTTAGTCGAGGGACTTTCTTTTCCGCGCAATGACACACCAAAGGGCGGGGCGTTGAGTAACAAGACACTATAAATAGTGGCGACCGTTGCCGGGTAGACAGAATCGGACTTGCGGAAACAAGACTGGAGTGGAAAGCGGTCGAGTTGCGGCGGTCGTAAGAAAAAAAGGTACGGGCCGAGGAAAGGGAAATGGAGGCAGTCGAGTGGAAAGGGATCAGAGGCTCGTCGACTGCCATAGTAGAGGGCAGCGGTTCCTTCCGAGGGCCGCCTTGGCGTCGCTTGGCGTCCATTGTGGCGGGGAGCTGAATGTCACCGGGGGCTGGAAAAGAGACGCGCCCCACAGAGGCGACGGGGGTGTGTGTTTCATAGCGGGTGGGGCTGAGGGGCCCAGGGCGGTTTTGGCGCCACCGAGGTAAAAACCACCATGGCTGCAGCGGAAGCAGCATCCGGCAACTGGAAGCCTCGGTAAGTTGGGCTTCCTGTATTCTGAACAGCAAAAAAATAAAAAGGGGGGCTATTTCCCGACTGACTGGTTCAAGTGACCCCATATGGCAGATCTCATTTGAAATACCCTCACTATTTAGACTGTGATCATCGCTACTAACGAAGAATATTCCTAACCTCCCAACCCCAAAAGAGGGCGTTTTCATCATTTCTTTTTAAAAAGAGCCCAAAAGAGGACGGACTCATACACAAAAAAAGACAATGTCCTCTACAAAGAGGAGGCCCGGTTAACCCTACTTGAGTTGTAGCCTCTTTCCTTAGGGGAAGCCCGCCCAGGAGGAGAGTTCAGTGTCCCTTCCCCGCGAATGCCCGCCCATTATGATTTTTAGCCCCGCCCCCGTTAACGCGATTCTCTTGCCTTCTGCCAATCTATGAGGCAGTGAGGATTCGGTTGTTAAATAAATTGTTTGGTTGGGGGATGTCCCAGTTCAATTTCCTTTTGTGAGTTGGGGGGAGTCCCAAGAGGCTGAAGTGTAGTAGTCGAGGTCACAATGATGTGTGCTATGGGGGCATGGGAGACCTACCAATTTTTACTGCTTGTAGAAAAGAGCAAGAGTCCAGGAGTACCTTAAAAGCTAACAAAATACGTGGCAGGGTAGGAGTTTTTGTGAGTCATTCCTCATTTCTTCAGATAGAGTGACTCACGAAAGCTCCTCCCCTGCCACATATTTTGTTAGTCTCTAAGGTGCTCCTGGACTCTTGCTCTTTCCTACTGCTACAGACAGACAGGGCTACCCCTCGATCTGCAGCTTTCTTGGTTTCTTGTTTGTGGGTGTTGCTTAATTTTAAAAAAAACCCTGCAGCCAATGACGTGATAGGTATTTTTGTTTGCCAATACAAATTCTGGGTTCTGTTTAAGTAATCTGGGGAAGAGAGAATAGTGTCTCCAGATGAGAATGTATTGTGAGGGTTTTCTAGTACTAGAGTGGCTTCATAGCAGATTCCTATGTGTGCGTCAGTCAGAAATGACTATTGTCTGGATTGTTGAAATAGGAGGGTGGGGCAATTCAGTTTGAGATGCTGATGTGCTTGTGTCATTGCAGTTCAAAATGCAGATCTTCGTGAAGACCTTGACTGGCAAAACCATTACCCTGGAGGTGGAGCCCAGTGACACCATTGAGAACGTGAAGGCCAAGATCCAGGACAAAGAGGGCATCCCTCCCGACCAGCAGAGGCTGATCTTTGCCGGCAAGCAGCTTGAAGATGGCCGCACCCTCTCTGACTACAACATCCAGAAGGAGTCCACCCTCCATCTTGTGCTGCGCTTGAGGGGAGGCATGCAGATCTTCGTGAAGACCCTCACTGGCAAGACCATTACCTTGGAGGTGGAGCCCAGTGACACCATTGAGAACGTGAAGGCCAAGATCCAGGACAAAGAGGGCATCCCTCCCGACCAGCAGAGGCTGATCTTTGCCGGCAAGCAGCTTGAAGATGGCCGCACCCTCTCTGACTACAACATCCAGAAGGAGTCCACCCTCCATCTTGTGCTGCGCTTGAGAGGAGGCATGCAGATCTTCGTGAAGACCCTCACTGGCAAGACCATTACCCTGGAGGTGGAGCCCAGTGACACCATTGAGAACGTGAAGGCCAAGATCCAGGACAAAGAGGGCATCCCTCCCGACCAGCAGAGGCTGATCTTTGCAGGCAAGCAGCTTGAAGATGGCCGCCCCCTCTCTGACTACAACATCCAGAAGGAGTCCACCCTCCATCTTGTGCTGCGCTTGAGAGGAGGCATGCAGATCTTTGTGAAGACCCTCACTGGCAAGACCATTACCTTGGAGGTGGAGCCCAGTGACACCATTGAGAACGTGAAGGCCAAGATCCAGGACAAAGAGGGCATCCCTCCCGACCAGCAGAGGCTGATCTTTGCAGGCAAGCAGCTTGAAGATGGCCGCACCCTCTCTGACTACAACATCCAGAAGGAGTCCACCCTCCATCTTGTGCTGCGCTTGAGAGGAGGCATGCAGATCTTTGTGAAGACCCTCACTGGCAAGACCATTACCTTGGAGGTGGAGCCCAGTGACACCATTGAGAACGTGAAGGCCAAGATCCAGGACAAAGAGGGCATCCCTCCTGACCAGCAGAGACTGATGTTTGCCGGCAAGCAGCTTGAAGATGGCCGCACCCTCTCTGACTACAACATCCAGAAGGAGTCCACCCTCCATCTTGTGCTGCGCTTGAGGGGAGGCATGCAGATCTTCGTGAAGACCTTGACTGGCAAAACCATTACCCTGGAGGTGGAGCCCAGTGACACCATTGAGAACGTGAAGGCCAAGATCCAGGACAAAGAGGGCATCCCTCCCGACCAGCAGAGGCTGATCTTTGCCGGCAAGCAGCTTGAAGATGGCCGCACCCTCTCTGACTACAACATCCAGAAGGAGTCCACCCTCCATCTTGTGCTGCGCTTGAGAGGAGGCATGCAGATCTTTGTGAAGACCCTCACTGGCAAGACCATTACCTTGGAGGTGGAGCCCAGTGACACCATTGAGAACGTGAAGGCCAAGATCCAGGACAAAGAGGGCATCCCTCCTGACCAGCAGAGACTGATGTTTGCCGGCAAGCAGCTTGAAGATGGCCGCACCCTCTCTGACTACAACATCCAGAAGGAGTCCACCCTCCATCTTGTGCTGCGCTTGAGAGGAGGCATGCAGATCTTTGTGAAGACCCTCACTGGCAAGACCATTACCTTGGAGGTGGAGCCCAGTGACACCATTGAGAACGTGAAGGCCAAGATCCAGGACAAAGAGGGCATCCCTCCTGACCAGCAGAGACTGATGTTTGCCGGCAAGCAGCTTGAAGATGGCCGCACCCTCTCTGACTACAACATCCAGAAGGAGTCCACCCTCCATCTTGTGCTGCGCTTGAGAGGAGGCATGCAGATCTTTGTGAAGACCCTCACTGGCAAGACCATTACCTTGGAGGTGGAGCCCAGTGACACCATTGAGAACGTGAAGGCCAAGATCCAGGACAAAGAGGGCATCCCTCCCGACCAGCAGAGGCTGATCTTTGCAGGCAAGCAGCTTGAAGATGGCCGCACCCTCTCTGACTACAACATCCAGAAGGAGTCCACCCTCCATCTTGTGCTGCGCTTGAGAGGAGGCATGCAGATCTTTGTGAAGACCTTGACTGGCAAAACCATTACCCTGGAGGTGGAGCCCAGTGACACCATTGAGAACGTGAAGGCCAAGATCCAGGACAAAGAGGGCATCCCTCCCGACCAGCAGAGGCTGATCTTTGCAGGCAAGCAGCTTGAAGATGGCCGCACCCTCTCTGACTACAACATCCAGAAGGAGTCCACCCTCCATCTTGTGTTGCGCCTGAGGGGAGGCTGTTAATTGTCTTTACGCCCTAATTTGCAAATTGCCACTAACATTTGTTTGCACTGTAGCAGTTTGTCTTAATATTGTGAGGTAAATGCAAGTTTAGTAACTGCTGGACTGTTTGTGTAAAAGCTAATAAAGTTTTGTGTTGCACATTGCTTGATTGTCTTGAATAAAGAGCTCTGTAACCTGGACTCTGACAGTGCCAGCTGTCTTACTTCAATTTCGTGTTGGAGACTTCCCCATCATTCAGGTTTGATGGCTGATCATTAGGAGTATGTAGTTGGATTTCAGACCCCAGAACCATCCAGTACTAACAGTTGTGTTCAAGTATGTCTTTCATAAGTGGGAGGAAGTTGGTAATATGTTCTTTAGCTTTGTTCTGAGGTCTTAAAATTCCAAAATAGGTACACTTCAGAAGTGGTTATAAACCCCCCAGGTATTAAGGTTGACAAGAACTAAAGTTGGATTGGGATAAGGGCAAGCTTACCTAACCTGCAGGTTAAACAGAACCCAGGGATAATTGCACCTTGGGTTTCTGTTGATGTCACATTTAGAAATGAAGAATTGGATAAGAAAAAAACTAAGCAAGACAAAATTAAACAAAAATTATTAAACAAAATTATTTGATGCTGTATTCTTAGGGATCGTGGTTCCACTAGTATCCCTCAAGTATTACTAAAAATATTCAGGTGAGTAGCCATGTTGGTCTGAAACAGTAGAACAAATTTTGATTCCAGTGGCAACATTAAGACCAACAAAATTTTATCCAAGGTATGATCTTGTACATGTATGCTTCGGATACATTGGAAAGGATGTTACCAGTCCATACATATAGCTAGAGGCCCTAACTATAATGTATGGACTGGTAATTTCCATTTCAATGTATCCGAAGAAGTGTGTGCACACGTACGCTCATACCCTGAATAAAACTTGTTGCTCTTAAAGGTGCCCCTGGGCTCAAACTTCGTTCTACTGAAAGGTTTTTACTGAATGTCCCTAACCCTAAAGGACACAAGAACAGTTCTTTTTGGACTAACCAGCATTATGTAGGTATCTGCAGGCAAAGGAGAAACGGGTTGTCTAAAGCATTTTTATTTGAGCACAAGTTTGCACTTCCACTGTGTCTTTATTGCTAGAGGAACCCCATCTTTCTGTAAGCACATGACACATTTTTCGGGTATTCTGGTCTTGTCACAAGTTGAAATGTTCTCATTCCGTTCTGATGATTAATGGTTGTGTTTTTTGTTTTAAGGGCCATGGAGGAGGGGGTCTAGAATGTGAGGATTTAGCTCTAGGGCGTGAATTGTTTTGCTGTTAAAGCTAATACAAATGAGGAAAAGGGGCCACCTAAGATATCCTTTCAAGGTTGTATAGCCCTGCCCCCAGTATTAAAAACTGCTGCCCTTAATTTCATAGGGATAATTGTGCAGAGCAAGGTACTGAAATGCTACACTAAAATGTTTTCATACTTGCCTGGCAGAAGAATGCTTGTTGGATTAACAGAAAGTTCTCTAAAAGTACTCTGAAATTCAAGTTTCGTCTGAAACAATTTATGATTGGTGTTTAGCTTAGAAAAAGCGTGGCAATAACCAAGCCGAAGGAGCATTTCTGTGTACTGTGTGTAGTGGGAACTTTTGTTCTTTGAGGACATAACAACTGAGTGCTTAGGCTGTATCTACAGAGGTTTTTCTAAAAACATGGGGCATCCAGGTTTGCAGAAAAATACCAAACTCTTAAAAAAACAACCCACATTGGGACAATGGGGGGGGGAGCCGCCCAAAGCTTGTGGCTGAGCAGGGATTGGAGGTAGTGGTAGCATCAAGTAAAGGCTGGGGAAAGCAGAAAGCTGTAGGAAGAAGTCCCCTTTGCTGGTGCTTGTTAGGTTACTTCTAAATGCCAGCAGGCATTTTCCCCTGTTTAGAAACTTCAGTATGTGTATGGGGGGGTGTCTCGTTAACAATTTAAATTCAATCTTGTGGGGGTTCTAGAAAAAATAATAGAATTTAGTGTCCCAAATGTGTGGTGGTGGAGGGATTTTGTCTAGGCTGTTCTCAAGGATCCAGTTGGCCTTGATCATGTTTTACCCTGCCCAAATGCAGGGCTCTTTTGCATATTTGGTATTAACACACCCTTAATGTAGGCAATCCTCCAAGAGCTTACAATAGCCCCTGTAAGAAAGCTGTGGCTTTCTGTACTGGTCTCATCAGGGATTATCTACATATCCCCTCTCTGTGGATACCTATATCTGCTGATAGAGACCACACTGAGAAAAAACAGGTTTTTCTCCAAACTTGGGGGACCCCCAAGGTTGCAGAAAAATCTTTTAACACCCACCCTGTATATGTGTGCGTGTGTGTATAAATAAAAACATGGGGGAAGAGGACAGCAAAAGCAGCACCTCCTTCCGCATGCACACCTCTAGTGTTGATTCTCCCCGCAGTCTGGCCTGGGGGAGTTGGCAGGGAAGTTTTAAAAGGGCAGATGAGCTCATGGCTACAGCAGTGGAGTGAGAACGAGCCTAATCCCATAAGGCTCTGTTGGTGAAACAATTCAGACTAGCAGGGGAAAAACCTAACCAGTCTTCAGTTAAAAGACTTCAAAACATTTTGGCCTGGGGCCTAAAATGTAGCCAGACTGGGGCCCAAAGAAGGGAATTCCAATTTGTAGGATCACACAACAGCTCTGTCCCTTGAGTCCACTCATCTCTGATGGGAGAGGATTCAAAACAAGGTATGTAATTCACAAAGTGTTTAAGTGTGCTTGTGGGATTCTGGGAACCCAGGACTATTTCCACGGGACCCTCCCATTCCCCTTTAGTTTTTTATTGATTGGGTGGAGACCGGCAAGGGACTGAATCAATAGAAAGAAACTAGTTCTTAAAACCAGTTTATCACAATATAAGCTTCTTAAGGACAGAAAGCACTTCAGCACTTACGAATCTTTTAGGATAAAAAACATAACATTTCCATACTCAGCACAGAACACTTCAACACAAACATGGTTCACTATTATGAAATACAGAGTGCCCTGGTCTAGTCAACAAGAGCTCACAGCTGATTGATGACCAGCCCAGAGCAAAGAAATCTTCAACAATTTATACCCTCATTATCCATAGGTTCAGCCCACATGGATGATGTAAGGTTAACACACTTTTAGCAGAAGAATATCAAAGAACAATTTCTACCCTGAACCCATACCCTAGTTACCCTAGACAGTCAAGGATGATATAACCTTATTGTGACCTTATTTGGAAGCACAGATCTGCTTCAGCAAGTACGTTGTAGGTCAGAAGAAGAAGAGATTGGATTTATACCCCTCCCTTCACTTGGAGTCTCAGAGCGGCTTACAGACTCCTTTCCCTTCCCCTCCCCACAACAGACACCCTGGGAGGTAGGTGGGGTTGAGAGAGCTCTGACAGAGACTGCTCTTTTTCAAGAACAGCTGTGCCAGAACTACAGCTTGCCCAAGGTCATCCAGCAGGTGCAAGTGGAGGAATGGGGAATCAAACCCGGTTCTCTCAGATTAGAGTCCACGCACTTAACCACTACACCAAACTGACTACAAACCTTCTCACTAGGAGTCTTTTGACACTCTATGTGGGTGAAATTATAAACCTAGAGAAATGTAAACTATTACTTTTTAGAGCAGAGTGCATTGTCAGGCTAGAGAAGAAGAAGATATTGGATTTATACCCCTCCCTTCACTTGGAGTCTCAGAGCGGCTTACAAACTCCTTTCCCTTCCCCTCCCCACAACAGACACCCTGTGAGGGAGGTGGGGCTGAGAGAGCTCTTTCAAGAACTACCCTTTAAAGAACAGCTCTTGTCAGAACTATGTCTTGAGATATGACAACAGCTAAGCCTGCAAAGCCTTATGGGAGAGGAAGCAACAGAGAGGCTTCAGATAATCCAGACTCTTATACAGAGGAAGAAGATGGCATTGGATTTATACCCTGGCCTTCACTCCCCAAAGGAGTCTCAGAGTAGCTTACAAACTCCTTTCCCTTCCCCTCCCCACAACAGACACCCTAGGAGGTAGGTGGGGCTGAGAGAGCTCTTTTGAGAACTACTCGTGATAGAACATCTCTGAGAGAACTGTGACTGACCCAACGTCCCACCAGCAGCTGCATGTGGAGGAGTGGGGGAATCAAGCCCGGTTCTCCCAGATTAGAGTCCACGCTCCTAACCACTACACCAAACTGGCTCTCAATGCTCCCAGCTCGCTTATTTTTCCACCACAGTGCTCATGGTATGGTCTTTCAGAGGCCCACAAAAAAAAAAAAATATGAAAAGGACTGGAAAGGCAGTGGGGGGGAGGCAGGTTAGTGTGTACTAACTCCTACTGAACTTGTGTAATCGCACACAGTTACAGCTGATGCAGGAGTAGGGTCTCAGGTAAGCCAGTGGAGGAAGCCTCGCTCATCCCTCTGAGAGGCCTTGCTATTCCCATTCTTCCTCCCTATGGGATGCACAGGCCTTGCTTGCATGAAAACTACTTTGGCAGCTGTGATTTTTCTGCACCAGCCACCCTTTCTGGTCAATCTCTTCTGGCTGCAAGCTGGGCTTTGTAACGGGCCTCTGTCCCTCTTCTGATTATTGCCTCCAGTTTCTTTCTCACTTCTTTTCTTTCGGGTTCTGGAATGTCCTCTATTTCTTCTTCACTGATTTCATAACCAAAAATCTCAATCTGGAGGCAAAAGGAAAGTTGCAGTGAGGACCGGGATGGTTTTCCAGTAGTTGCTGCTGTTATATTACAGAAAATTAATAAACATCATTGTATTTCTAAGGGCTGGAAACAAAGATGAAAGTGGAAAAGAGTAGAAGAGGCTGTGGGTGGAGGGGACAATGAGAGAAAGGCCTGGTCCTGTGCCGTAACTAAGGTTCTCTTGGTGGATAAAAGGGGTCAAGCGCTTTCAAAGGTCTGGGGAGGAGGAGGAGGAGAAGAGGAGGAGGAGAAGATTGGATTTATACCTCGCCCTTCACTCAGAGTCTCAGAGCAGCTTACCTTCCCCTCCCCACAACAGACACCCTGTGAGGTAGGTGGGTGTCAGCAGCTATGCTGCCATGATGTTTATGGGCTGGGGTTCATTTGCTTGACCTGTGTATCAGCCGCGGCTGCATTCCTTCTTTGCTTCTGTAGTCTTTATTATCAATGACCTTGGAGATTGCCAGTGTAGTGTCTGGGCATCATGT